AATAAAGCCTGCCTTCCTTAAGCTGCTTTATTCGGGCATTTTATCATAGCAATGAGGAAAATAACCAAAAACAACTAGCATGTACAAGACCCAGAGTTTCAGCCCCAACACAGCACAAAAGGTCAGAGTCGGGTGCAGGGTGTGGGAGCTCAGTGCAAGAGTGCTAACCTGGCACTTGAAGACCCTGGGAGATTCCCTTCACTACAAAAGCTGGCGCTAGGTTCAGTCTCCAACACCAAGGAAAGACTAAATAAACCAGAGTGGCTGGCCCCAGGCTGTGGGGAAGGGATACCAGGCACAGGCTTGCCTATGGGGTGGGTCCCATACTCTCACCTGGTGAGGGTCTCCAACTCTGAGTAACTTGCCTAAGAGGATGGGGGGTTGGGGGATGTGGTGGGAGGTGAACAGGGGTGAGGACACAGATGATGACACTGCATGCCTGATACAGGCCGGGGCTGTGGAGCTTCTGGACAGAGGGACAACTGGATACACTGTAACAGGCATGTGTCCCATCCCCCCCCCTCGCAGCTGACACTCATAGAAAAAAAAAAACAGCTTAGTTGTTTCTTTGTAAATGTCAGTATTTTGAGATATATAACATAGTCCTTAACTCTGCCACAGGTTAATGGGGTCTTTGTTTAGTTTTATTTTGAAACAGTTTCAAGAATATGTAACCCAGGCTGGCCTTATACTCACCATCCTCCTGCCTCAGTCTCTCAAGAGCTGGGATAACAGTATGAACCACCATGCGAATCTCCTTCATTTTAATACATAAAACAGTATGTGAGCAAGTTCCTGTGGAGTAAAAGCAGTGTTCTGAGAAGCTCACCACTTTTCTCCAGGACAAGGACCGTTTCTAAGACAGTAAGACAGAGGATCCACTCTGAGAGGTGTGACTAAGCTCTGCCCAGCAGGGGGAGTTAAAGTCAAGCGCAATTTTTTTCCCAGCAACTATTTCACAGCAGCGGTAAGGTGCCATTAACAAGGTCCAGGAAGCTTCCATACCTGTACTGGATCTCTAACCCCTCCTAAGGTGAGAGGCAAAGACCTTTGCCATCAACTCCAGGACCCAAGAGCTACAGGGGAGGGAAGGGGAGATGTGAGGCCTCTAGAAATCCTCTACCCTCAGCACAGGTCAACAGTCAGTCCTGTGTTGTCATCTAACAATGACAGCATGCATAACTCTAGGCTGCCATTCCCCTTCAGCATTCTGTAAATGTACTCAAATTGCTTATGTATTGTTATTTATTTTATTTATGGAGTCTCGATTTTCCAAGTACATTATTCTCTCCTGACTCTAATATATGAGTTTGAAATGACAAGCGTTGCAACATTCAACACAAAATGAGCTCTGAATTAGAGATGGGAGTCTTCAGATGTGGGGATAGAAATGTCCAGAAAGCCATTTGAAGTCTGCGTCTTTAAAATGTCAAATAATAGAGAGGGTTAGTGGAATTTAATGAGTTACGGCCTCATGTTCCTTAAAATAGTTTCTGCCACAGAAAGGCTGCTCAGCCTGTAAAGCCCCCACGGAGGAGAACCTTGCGTGCCCACACCATGAACACTGCCTATTTCTAACGACAGGCTTTCAAACTGTTCACTGGTCACATCTAACCAGGGGTATCTCAGGTGACCTGGCCAGTCACTCAAAAAGGTCTTGCTCAGTTCCCAGGACAGCCTCTGGCCCACGATTCCCAAAAGGCCTGCTCCTATGTTCTAGGACATGTGTAGCCCTGGAGAGAGAGTCCCTACTGGGCAGGAGAATGAGTGCACACTAGGGGACAGGTGGCCTGCGGGTGTAGTGGGTCCCCAGAAGCATGCTGGAAGGAAATCTAAACAAATCAAGCAGTCCACAACCAAGCGAGTGGCCAGGTGCTAAAACAAAAGGTCACCTGGGGCTTTTCAGTTCTGGGCTTAAGAACATGGCATTCGGTCTTACCCAAGAATGTGTGAAACTAACCCAAGTTGGTCCTGTTGCCCTGAGGGACAGAATATGTGTGGTGGCTTTTCCAAGCAGTCAGGGCCACTGGCCAGTCCCCTGATCTGTTCAGGTCCCCCCAAGGCTCCCTCATACAAGGCTTTCTCAAAATAATTTCCCAAGCAAATGATGGTGCTACACACGGCAGACAGGCAACGGGAGTCTAGTGCTGCAGGACTCTGAGCAATGACTTTGCTCCAGCACCATCCAGCCCAGGTCCCTGGCAGTACTGAACAGATCCCTAAGGGACTGGGACTCATTCTGAACCAAGGGTAACATATTGTCTACACTCCGTAGGCACTCCCCTAATGTTGGTCCACCAGAGTATACAGGGAATGCACAGCTGACAGACCAGCAGGCAGATCCACGGGAAGTGTATACATCCACAAGGAATAACTCGTTTTGCAGAGCTGCGGGAACACTTCTCTTGGAAAAGTCGCTGTTATCTCTGTGGAAACCTTGTGAAGCCGTGATTCTTCCCTTGGAAATGGGAGTTGACTTCTGCACAGAGTGACCTTGCTCCGGTTCCCCTCTACCACGAGACGGTCACTCTGTGTTCTAGCAGGAAAATTTACATTGAGTCAATCCCATAAAATTGAAGACAGGCACTGAGTGGGAAGACAGCATGCCCCACCTTTGCTAACAAACAAATCTGGGCGTCCCCAAAGCTGGTTATCACCAAAGAGATTAGATGAGGAGAATGAGTGAAGCCAGGATCCGTGGGTATTTAGTAACTTTACCTAATCGTTTGGATTGCCAGATACTTCCTCTTGAACTCTGGCTTTTCCTGGGTTGGGTCACCTGTTCCTGTTCTGGGGTACTACTTTGTCAGGTTCTACCTGCCCTCTTTGTGATTTTGATATGCATACTGTCATTGTCCTTGCCTATGGAATTTTCCAACTAAGTATGTAAAAAACTAGAAACCTCGTGGAGATCAGCCCTTACTCTTCTTCTTATTCTCCACGCTCTTTCACTTCATTTTCTCCCCTCGCATGAAAAATAAAGAACACACAGAGATAACATATTTGAGTTAATCTGTTTTACCCTCAGATCCTCGCCTGCCATAGACATTCAATTCTGAGTCCTGAGGGGGTATTAAGGCTGGTACTCAGGGCCCCCATACCCCAATGCCCACTATGAAGTAGGAGATTGTTCAAGGTTTGGAAACAGTCTGAGGCCAGAGGCAAGAAGCCTCTTATCCAAGCAGAGCTTCCTAGAGGCCAGGAGCATGGCTGGAAAATCCAGGAACCCAAAGATCAGATGCTTGGGCCAGGCTCAGTGCTAGGAGACCCAGGGCACAATCCAATCCTGCAGGGAGCAGAGGGTCCCCACCACTCCACCCAAAAGGAAGATGTTCCTTCAGTGTCTCTCTTTGTTGCTACAGCCTAGATAGTGCTTGCTCGCTGTGGCCTTGCCCTGGAATTGGTCATCTCGTGCTACCTCAGGCCGCAAGATCTCCCATCCTCAGGACTCCTCATGCTTGGCTTTGGCCTTAGTGAAGGATCCAATCCTGCACTGCAGCTCTGCACAGGTGGGGCCTTGAGAACTATAATTCTATCAATTTCACCTGCAATTTGGTAAATCAGCTTTGTTTGAGACAGTCTGGTGTAACCCAAGGCTCAAACTCACTATGCAACGAGGGTAGTTTTGAGCTCCTGATCCTCCTGCTTCCACCTGAGTGCTGGGATTACAGATGTGCAACATCATGCCCGGTTTATGTGATGTGGAGATCAAAGGGCCTCATGCATGCCAAACAAGCATATTGCTCACTGAGCTAGAGCCTAGCCCATAGCTTCTTTTTAAATGTTTACTACTTATATTCATGTGTATATGTGCAAGTCTGTGTGTGAATATACACGAGTCCAGATATCCGTGGAAGTCAGAGGCATTAGGTCCCCTGGAGCTGGAGTTTCAGGGCACTGTGAGTGGCCCACAGCTTCTTTCCTCTTTGACAGTTTCTCTAGTGTCAAGACGAAAGAAAACTTCTAAACCTTTTGTTACAGAGCCTTTTGGAAAGCTCACTAATGGCACATTTCTGTCTATCTAGGAACTCTAGAGGAAACCAGATTCCTCTTAACAAATGAAACCCAGATGGAATATTTTAGAGGCCACGGCAGTGGGGACATGTAGCTCAGTGCTCAGGATCCCCAGTCCAGTTCCCAGTGCAGAACTGTGTGCCCTTTCCCCAGCTCATCAGACGTCTCAGAATCCAACAAATCCAATAAACAGTGAGCATCTTGTTCCTTTTTTTCTTGCAGGGGACAGCCAAATGACTCACGCCTGAAACAACGGATGCTAAGGAGGAGGAATATGAAGACAAGCCCGAAATCACAGCAGTACTGCATCTCACTTCAGGCCTCCTCCTGTTCATCTTCCAGATAAATTAGTTTAAAAAAAAAAAAAAGTTACCTTGGAAAAAAAATCCTCTTAAAAGGAGATACAAGAGCGCCACCCTGTGGTGAGTCTCTTTCATCATCTCTGTCTATGTTTCCTACCACGGTCAGTATTTTCCTTCTAACAAGGTCACATGTATGAACACCTGTGGCAGCACGTCACCCAGAAAGTGCATGTGGCATCTGAAAAGGGGAGCCTCTCTGAGGCAACCCTGACACCCCAACCAAGGAAACTTGGTGAAGGTGGAGGAGTGCCTAACTGGAAGGTCCAGGGTAAGGGGTCTCAGAGAGGGTGACCCCACACACAGTCCTCAGGAGAGGCAGGTGCCAAGCTTCAGGGACAGCTTCTTCCTGGTTTAGGCCTGGTCTTCACCAGGAACCCCGGAAGTGCTGCGGCCCTGATCGCTGGTCACTGACCTGGAAGAATAGGGACAGATTCTAATGGAGAACAAGGGCTACTGAGAAGCCCTGAGCTGTTGCTGCTTCTGTGTCCTCTGCAATAGAGCAGGCCAGAACTTGATGCTGGTTGATATACTGGTGAAACCTGAGTGCCTAGCTGTCCCTTGAAGGTACCCCACTAACAACCAAGCCAAGATGGACAAAGTCCAGAACAAAAAAGTTGACTGGGGGTAGTGGGTTTCTTTTTTTTTTTTGGTCTTTTTGTTTTGGCAAAACAACATCATACTGTTTATTACAGGTATTACAGGTGTGCCTTTTATCCCCGCTGACAAAAATCACTTTGATTCTGCATTGCTACGCTGAGAATTAACATGTAATATAGTCATTAAACATAACAGCATCATTTTGGGGTCAGTAGTATTGTGCCCTTGTTGTTTCCCCAAGGTCTCAGCTTCATGAGTTAAAGTCTTGATGTCTCCCCAAGTTACTGGCTTACTCTTCTTCTTAGGACGCCTCCTCTTGATGAGTTTGTCATCTACCTTCGGTTGCTTCGCTTGTCCAGTGGTCTCTGGGGTGCTCTCCTGGTTGGATGCCTCAGGACGGGAAGAGCCACCTGGCACTTCGCTCGTTTTATCGGGTCCAACAGGCACTGGCGGAGTATCAGAAGGTCCTGAAGGTACTTGGTATGGATTATTTGGAGTAGAACGGGGTCCTGGTGTGGGATATGATCCTGCAGGGGCAGTATATGGTGCTGGTGGTCCCCAGGCTTCCGGTGGCACAGTACCCCATGGAACAGGCAGTGCTCCTGACACTGGAGGAAGAGCTGTGGGATGCTGCCCTCCCACTCCTGATGCCCAAAGTCCAGAAGACACAGATCCCCGTGGACCTAAAGAACCAGCTGCAGCTGGATCTGGGGGTGCACCATATGGCTTAGGTAGCTCTGGAAAGGGCATATTTGGTGTAGCATATGGCCCTGTGGGACCAGGGCCCCGGATAGCAGGGGCTGGATAAGGACCACTAGGTTGGGGACATGAGGGTCCAGGAGGAAGAAAGGATGCTGGGGTTCCTGGTGGTGGTCCAGTTGGAGGAATGGAGGGATATATTCCTGTTGGTGCTGGTCGAAAAGGCAAAGCAGAGGGTGCTGCACTTAGTGGGAGTCCAGACAGTACAGCTGGTGGAGCACTTAGGTTACTCCGAGGACCGGAGCCTAGCCAGCCTTGAGGAGCCGGGCCAGCTTTTATGTTGCTCACATATGCCAGCAAAAATTCATCTGACATTCTCCCAGCAGGACCTAAACCTGAAGCATGCCGCATAGTGGTGATGAATCCGAGGAGACAGGCAATGGAGAAACGACCTGAGCAAGCTGACGCTTAAATCTGCTTCATACAGGAAACTTTGTCCTAAACAAAACAAAACAAAACAACTGGTTGGTTAGGTCCCATTTTGAACCTTTAGTTGTCTGGCTACTTTTCCAAAATGAAGAAAAGGCCTGGGAAAGGCTCAAGTGGTGGAGACTGTATGGCTGGGACAGAGAAAGGAGAGGCCAGTCTGTAGGGAATGGGGTAAGGACAACATCTATAGAGCAGGTATGGAGAGAGATGGTTCTAGAAATGTCTCCACTCTTGATTCTGGAAAATGGTTTTGTAAACTGATTTTAAAGATGTAACCTAGTAAAATTCTAGTAGAGTGGAAATCCCCAAATTAAGAAAGAAGAACATTTACAAAAAAAAAAAAAAAAAAAAAAAAAAAAACCTAATGTTGGCTTCTTCCTGACTGGTAAGACAGTAAATTACTTTCACTTGCGATCAGAAAGTACAAGACTGGGAGCCAATGTCACCACTCCTACTTGGCATCATAGAAGTTCCAGCTAATAGGAGCTAAAAGAATACTGAAGGGAAAGAAAATGTAGGGAGATGAACAAAGGAAATACAGTCTCTATTCCAATTATTCAGCTGTCTGTGTGGAAAACTGCAAAGAATGGACAACAGAAACACCTCCTGGAAGATATAAGTGATCACAGCCAGGATGCACGAAAGAGTCACCACACAAAATCCCATGCCTTCCTGTGTACCAGTTCTACAAGAGTGCAAAGCACCAAAAGGTTTGACATTCGAATTCCAGAATCATAAAATCAGAGCAAATCAGAGGATCGACACTACCTAACTTCTAATAAGTCTATATAGTGACAAAAGGCAAGACAGCATTATACTAAGTGAATAAAAACAATGGGATGGAATAGCTAGTCCAGAATTAGGATCACACAAGATCCTTTGACGAAGGAGTTAAGACATAGCAATGGTACAAAGAAAGCCTATTTCACAAAAAGTGCTGAAATCCCCAGATGTCCACAGACCAAAAACAAGTAACTCAGACAAATATGGACTCCTCTCACAAAAGTAGATCAAACAGATTACAGACCTAAGGCCAGGCACAATAAACACAGAATATTTAAAAAAGAAAAAAAAAATAAGACCTTTGTGATCTCAGGTTTGGCAATGAGTTTTTTAGACACAATACCAAAACCACAATTGTGGAAGAAAAACTAAGCTGGAGTTCTCTAAAATGTAAAGCTTCTACTACGTGAAAACCTGTCAAAGACGGAAAGAAATGGTCGGGCTGTCCAAGAGACAAAATATACAGTGTACTGCCGTTGTCCGTGATTATCACCACTCCCCAGGAGGGGAAGGTAAGCCCCTATTGATAAAGATACCATGCACTGAAGATAGCTGTTCAGAAAATAGGCCCAGAGATCCCTGACCTAGAACTGACCTAAATGCCCCCTCATTGAGGTCTAGCTTTCATGGTACAAGAAGACACTGTGCAAGCTTCCAAAGGAGGGAGTTAACCAACAGTCCTACTCAGCTGTGACACTTATGAACCACATCGATGACCAGCATGTCACAATAACCCTATGGGTACAATAGTGGCACACAAACCTTGGCAGTAACCAGTAGCTGTCTAACTGGACTCATTCAAAGAGAAAGAAATGAGGCCTGGTACTGGAGACCTAGCCAACTACTCAAGTACCTGTTATAGATATTGGAGGAGAATCTACAACCACAAATTTACTAAACCACCATAATCCCTAACAATAATCTAAACATTTGTCTGTTTTTATACCCAAAGGTAAGTGTAGTCTTCAACCATCATCAAGGAAACTTCTGTTTGCAACAGAGTTCACTACAGAAAAGCACAACCAATCAAAATACAGTTATAGAGCCCAGTCCCAGTAAATACATGTACAAAACACTCCTGCACCTAAGGCTCACAGAACATTGTAGAAAAGGGGGCAGAAAGACTGTAAGAACCAGATGATCAAGAAGTTAGTTGGCTGTAAGAGTGTGTCTTCTGGCAATATCAGAAGCTACATCCATAACGTTTCACCAACATGATTTCCCAAACATGAGTTGAAAAAGGACAGCACCAATGGACATGCCAAAGGGGACAGGGAAAAGCCCACAAAGCCCCAACCCTACACAAAGAACTAGAGGCAGCTGAGGAAAGCTGGCAATGGGAGAGGTTGTCTTCCCTAGGGAAGGGCACACTAACTGGTTGTCTAGTGCCAAACGGTCAGCCCTGAAAACATAAATGCAGGTAGCATCATATTATATTAGGAACATATATCTATACACATATATACATACAATAGCAATTAGTTTAAAAGGAGGTCATAAACTTGAGGGAGAGTGGGAAAGGGTACATGGGAGGGTTTGAGGGAGAAGAGTTGCAATTATAATCTCAAAAATTAAATAAAATAATATCCCTGGTAAAGAGTTAGTGTCAACAACCACAAGGAGCCCAGAGAAAGGAGGGTGGTTGGTATACTGGCTTATTCAGCTGCTCTAACAAATTGCCCATGACTTTCATCAACAGAAGTGTGCTCTTCCCTCAGCTCAGGATATCAGACGTTCACAAGCAGCCTCACTGTGGGCTTGGTTAGGCTTCTTCCAGGAGGTTCTAAGGTCCTTCCTTAGGCCTTCTAGCCACAGAGACAACTAGACTACATCACTGTGGTAGCACCGGGAGTCTCCATCTCACCTGCTCCGCTGTTTTTCTCCCTTTGCCTCTACAATAAGATCACCTTCCAGGGTACCTGGGGTTACAGATACCCAGGTCATCATCTCAAGACCATCAACTTGGACTGGAGAGATGGCTCAGCAGTTAACTGAATCCTGGCTCCTCTTCCAGAGCAGCCTCTACAAGAACTAGATAGATGTTATACACAGACATAATGCAAACAAAATACCCATATGCATAATAAATAAATAATTTTTTAAAATCTCTCAGCTTGATTATATCCAAAACCTCATGTGCCAATGAGGTCGCACTCACAGTTCAGGGAATGGAAGCATTGATACATCAGCTTCAACAGTCAGCACGGGAAAAGGGTTAGCCTATGGAGAAATGGCACATCAGATCACAAGGAAGCATAATAGGGCCTAAGGCTCCCTGGCTGGCTTCAGCGTCTAGGTAAGGTTTAGAGATACTTTCACATTTCATGAGGAATCTTGGAAGTTTCACTAACAGTAGTATCGGACAGATGCTGGGGTTATGTTGTTGTTGTTTTTTGGTTTCCCAGTGTAACCTTGGCTGTCCTGGAACTCAGAGATCTGCCTACCTCTGCTGGGAGGAAAGGTGTGTGCCACCACTTCCCAGCTTGATGCTGGGTTCTTACAGTGACTCTTGAAGATGGTTGACAGAAAGGCTGAGGGGAGACAGGGATCACTAAAGAAAGGTCAGTCAGACATTCTAGTTCAGAGAGAAGCTAGGGCAGAAGCTGCCAGATAGGCTCTGTCTCCCCAGAGAACTAGTGAGCTTGGCTTCTGCTTCTCAGCTCAGACCTGAGAGCAGGAACAGCCATGTGCTCAGACCAAGACTTAGCCAACCTAAGCTTCCTGCTTCAGCAGTACAGGGGACACTATGCCTTCCCCTCTAAGTTGAGACTTGATTTCCACATCAAAATAGTAATAAATCACAAGGAGTACAAGGGGCATGGTTTTCCAAGGACATAGGTTAGGCTTATCAAAACCAGTCACAAACGAAATGCCTGGCTCAAGGACAGCTGGGTCTCCTTGTGAAGACCTAAGCACAAAAGTCTCATCCTTGAACCAGACACAGAACAATCAGCCATGCCTCAGAGGCAGTCACGGCATTTTCCCCGGAACCCCAAAGGGCAGAGACATGGCCTGCTTTGTGAGGATGACTGGGCCAGGTCATCTGTCAAGGATGACACACACACACACCTGCCCTCCTTCCACTCACTTTTCTCTCCCTTTCTCTTCCTCCCACTCCCCCATCTCCGGGAGCAGGTGAGGGCCAAGGCCAAAGGTCAGGGACAGGGTCTGTCTATAGCTTAGATGCATCCTAATGACCTTACTGCCCCCCAAAGGCAATTAAAGGTTTCTGTCCAGGACCTTACAGTGGGTTTGCTAATGTGTTCAGATTCTGCCAGCTTACAGGGGTAGGGCTCAGTTTCTGATCTTGAGGAATTTCTGTTCCCAGGATGTTTTTTGTGAAAACAGAATTCTAATCATCTCCACTCATCCATTTACCTTGGTCTCTTCCAGGATTTCAAGGTGGCACTGAGCTGTTTCCCCTGTCTCGACCAGCAGAGGGCAGAAGTTCCCTGATGAGGAAAGCACCAGCTGCCAGCTTTGTGCTTAGGGAAGCTCCTCCAAGGGCTGGATCAGGCAACTGGTACTTCTATGGAGATACATACACATACACATACATACATGGACTGGGGACCCATAAATGATTCCCACCTCTCTGAAGCTCAATAACAAAATATCTCTCACTGAGGCCACAAATAAAGTTTACGTAGAATTTTAGTTTACTTTCTGGTGTCCTCCTACCTCCTTCTGCTAGGCTAGACCTGTTACTCCTAACTACTGATGATGGAGAAGCTAGTTCAGAGACACTAGAGAGGCACTAGTGGCACACACTTGTGTGTTAGCATATACCTGTGTGGTGGTACACACCTGCAATCCCAGCATTGGAAAGACAGAGGCAGGAAGGGTTGGGAGTTCAACAGCATCCAGGACTACAGAGTCCAAGGTCAGACTGGCCCACGTGAGAGTAACAAGAGGGGGGAAGAAGGGTGAGTCTGGTGGAACAGAAGCTTCAATTCCCAACTTTGTTGGGATCCTGGCCTTGCCCACGAGGGAGACACTCTCTATATTCACCTAGTTCTTGCATGGGAGTGTGGTGGTAGGGATTGCTGCTTCAGCTGAACACTCAGATTTGGGTAAGTCCCAGGAGCTTCTGTCAAGTTCACAAGACCAAGTCTCCTGGACATCCACTGTGTTAGTTCTAAAGGCTCAGAGGAAAGGGCATGGGGCAACTGTGGGGTTAAGTTTTGAAGAACACATTCTTGCATACCTGTCTCTTCCTTGTTCTGGATGGGTGGGAGACTCTGAGTCACTAGGCTTGGTGTGGGTTCTGTTCCTGATGGTGGCATGTTTCTCAAGGTGACTCATGGGGTAGATGGCAGGTGCTTATATGAAGAGGGTGCCCTAAAAGGGCTTTCCACAGAGCAAGCAATCAGAGCTGAGGCAGAAGAGAGAAGCCTGTGCACTGGGGCTCTCCTCAGAGCAGCCCTCACTCCCCAGATCACATCAATCAAGCTGACATTTCCTCCCACGAGAAGATGAGACAACGCACATTGTTAAGGAGCTCTGATGTACAAAGAGCTTTTCCCAATATACAGGATTCCTAAGTTACTAAGATAAATGGGGGAAGATTTGACATTTATTGTGCATAATTTAAGTTCAAATAGGTTCCCAGTGAAGAAAAATTGCAAGTTGCTGAGCTGGGTCTGTGCCTTCAGCTCCATGCCTTCTGCTGCCATGCCAGGTCTGCACTACGCTCAAGCTGCCTTGATCTTATAATTCAGAGAACAAAGCCATATTGCAGAATATTGGGAAGCTGTATTTTTATTTTTGAAATTAAGTTATCCCCGTCTGTGAATTTTTTTTTTTTTCAGAAAAGCACTTAAAATGAGCAAGTGTTTTCCTCTCACTTTAAAATACGGAATTCAAATTTAAAAAAAAAAAAAATGCACCATACCGGGTGTTGGTGGTGCATGCCTTTAATCCCAGCACTTGGGAGACAGAGGCAAGCGGATCTCTGTGAGTTTGAGGCCAGCCTGGTCTACAAGAGCTAGTTCCAGGACAGGCTCCAAAGCTACAGAAAAACCCTGTCTC